CCGATCTCTCGCAAGGCCCAGTCGGCTCAGTCTCCTGCTAGGTTTATCAGGTTAGGATCCGCGCGTCGTTTTATTGGGTCGTCTACGGGTTGTCACGAGTCTCGTTTGCCCCGTTGACCGTCAGGTTTGCTCGGGAAATAAAATCGGGAACAATGGAGCAGTTGTTCACGCGGTACGTTGGAAATTAGGCTGCACGATGCACCCGAAGCTTTCGGGTATGGCTCGGTTCGCGTGACTCGGAAAACCAGCTTCGTGTTTTCGTGGCTGCTAGAGTGTCGGCGTATGTAAACATTCATTGATCAGGCTATTATCTTCCGTCCGTAGAATCGTGGAATTGGGGAGCACTGTTACTTCTTTCCGATGCTTCAAGTCGGAACCCGTTAACTATCTTCGATCCAGGATGCAATGGTATCTGTATACTAAAACGCGATAACACCTAATAAACGAAAAGAAACTCTGGAGACAATTTCTGTCTGCTTATACGACGGTTTATTAACTCGGTTAATTATTGCGTGTCCTTGACGGAACTATAACGCTATAGCGCGTTATAGCAACGGGTTTATCTCGGGAAAATTTTATCGATTCAACGCGATGAAATAATATCGAAATCGCGATGTTGCTGGATGTTATTCGGGCCAGGCTAATCTCCTGACGGAAGAAATGCCGGATAGTCGCGGATTCCATGGCGCGATTTTGAAATCATGCTCGTCGTAAAATTATCGCTCGTGCGAGATATCGGCGTGGTTTTTGCGGCGGTATATCGGTGAAAAAAAGAAAGACGAAGTTCATTTACATGGGCAGATCGTTGTCAGTCGGCTGTCTATATTCGCGTGGACGAGCCGCACGCGATCCGCGGGCTCGCAAAACGATCTAACCTCACTTTCTCTCCGTCGTGGTTTCCTCCTGCAGCTCGACGGAAGTCACGGACAAAAAGCAACATCCGCGGAGTATCGCTCGAGCGGACTATAAATCACGTTTACAATAGGGAGAAATTCGTAACTGGCCGCGTTTTAATCCCGGGGCACGCCAATTCCGCCGGCTCGCAATTTTCTAGCCGCGAGTTAACCTAAAATCTTCGAAATTTCTCTCCGCGGCTCGATATTCTCCCTGGTTACGTTTATAACCGGAAGAAGCCGGCAATTACTTCGTAACCCCGCAGTAAATTCGATTCGCAACGTTCACTGCTCGTATTTCTTTTTTAGGTTAGGTTAACCTAAAATTTGTCTCGCTTTCGTTTTCGAAACGGTGTTCCCGATAATTGCGTTCGAAGAAGCCGGCGATTACTTATGTTCTCGGTTCCCGGTATACTAATTGTTCGCGTTTCATAGCGTTTTAGCTATAAATCAAGCGGGAATATCTGAAATTCTTCTCCTCCAATTAGCATCTCGAATTATTCATTTTTACACGTCCGGCGCCATTTTCCTCCAATCTATCACGGCTCTCGTAACATGAATCTAACATTTTCCGAATATATCACGATTTTCCATTAAACGGCAATCACGTTACATAACCTCAAAGAGATAAACGAGAGAAATCGCGTATTTCAAAATTACCATCATATAAAGCCCCATTTTCATGTGTCTCTCAGTCCCGAATAATGTTTACATCACGCGTACGATATTTTCCAAGCATCCTATTAAATTGGCCGAGAAGTATCTTTTATCTGTGCCTCATTAAATAACACGTTGACCATTTTTGACCCCTAATAAACAACCATAATTATCTCGCGATTCTATTTCGTAAATTACCAACACTGACACCGATTAGATCCTATTTCCCAAATTAAGATCATCCATGGACCTAACCTAAAAAGTACCACCGACTTCGTTGTCAATCCAACCCCATATATTAAAACGTAATTAAACGCAATAAATTACGAATCGAAACACGATTAAGCCCAAGAAATGACTAATTGGAACGCGATTAGTCCAAAAAATTACCAATTGTAACACGATTGTCTCGTGAAATCGAATGATCGTCGCCCCCCAGTTCTTGGGCGCCATTTTCGTCCAATCCGCGACCAACTTCGGTCTCTACCAGGTGCGTACGGTATCCTTACATCAGGATGCACGAAACAGCATTCGTGTAACGCGTTATTCCAAAAGGAAGACGGAAAAAAAGAAAGATGGAGGTCGATTAAGCGCGTATCGAATGGCGCGGGTTCCGGATAACCGGGGTCCGCGGAGTCAACTCGTCATTTTCCGAGTTAATAAACCCCATGGCGCGATATTCTTCGTTCTTTTTCCCCCCGTCCCGTTTCCCTTATGGCGACCGGTTCCGTCCGCGGAAGATCATCGATTTGGTCGCGATGTAAACAGCGCCGCGTAGATCGCGGCGAAACGGGGAACACGATAATTACGAGTTTCGAGAGTTGGTAAATAAGAACGCTCGCGCGCCTCTCCCCATGGCGGGCAGGGTTACGCAAAGATTTCGTAACGGAGATTTTGTAACGTTGTTGTGTCCACGCTGCGGACATTCTTATCTCGGCCACGAGCGAGCAGGCAAAACAAGTGGCTTCGCGTAATTGATTCACTCGGCCGTGATAAGCGGGCCCCGGGACCAATTATGAATTATTCCACGATAACCGGCGTATCGTAACTGGCAGATAGCGTTCCACCCAGTCATCCTTGATAGTAGACGCTGAATGGAGGAGAGAGACGTCGTGATCTCGTAGTTCTCAATGATTTCGGCCCTCTACCGATTTTCCGTTCTTCTTCGATATTTTCACACGATGACTCGATTTCTGGTTGGTCTATCGACTCGAAATTTTGAGGGTACCTTCAGTGGATGTTAAGATCATTTTAGGAAGTAGAATGGTTGAAATCCAAAGTAATTTGCTACTTTTATTTTGGGGTTCCGAAGTTTGGGTATAAGAGGGTGAAGGAAATTGATCTTTCGAATTTCAAGCATCTCTGTTTTCTCAAATCTCGAGATTTTTTGTATCTTCCTGTTTTGGGCATAACTGTTTTCGTACTGGAGAGGATTAGTATATAGTATGTCCGTTTTTGATGAACAGAGGAGTCGGAATCGTGTTAATTTGTCAGTCGTGTTTTTCAAATCACTGTGTATATATGTTTACGATAATTTTTGTAAATGTTGTTATTTTTCGTTGAAAAAAATTCTGAATAATCTCGAGATAGGTATCAATGTCTGATAAAAAAATTGCGTTAATACTTGTTATGGTTTCTTCGGAAAAAATTACCAAATATGTACTGTTCTCTTTACTTCTAGAAAACCTGACCAAAGTTTTTTAAATCACCTCCTATACATGTTTCAATAATTTTTGTAAATGTTGTTATTCTTCGTTGAAAAAAATTCGGAATAATCCCGAGATACGTATTAATGTCAGATAAAAAAATTGCGTTAATACTTGTTATGGTTTCTTCGAAAAAAATTACCAAATATGCACTGTTTTCTTTACCTCTAGAAGACTTGACCAAAGTTTTGTGAATTACCTCCTATACATGTTTCAATAATTTTTGTAAATGTTGTTATTTTTCGTTGAAGAAAATTCAGAATAATCTTGAGATACGTGTCAATATCTGATAAAAAAATTGCGTTAATACTTGTTATGGTTTCTTCGGAAAAAATTACCAAATATGTACTGTTCTCTTTACTTCTAGAAGACCTGACCAAAGTTTTTTAAATCACCTCCTATATATATTTACGATAATTTTTGTGAATGTTATTATTTTTCGTTGAAAAAAATTTGGAGTAATCTTGAGATATGTGTCAGTAGCTGATAAAAAAATTGCGTTGGTAGTTGTTATAGTTCCTACAGAAAAAATTACCGAAGATGTACTTGTTTTCCTTACTTCCAGACCAGAAGACTTGACCGAAATTAAAATATCCGACCTTTCCGTAGAAAATAAATAATTTCCTCAATGGCGGAGGATCGAATCACTAAACGATACTAATTACGACTTCCGAAATCATTTTTTTCCATTTAATTAGTTATAAAAAAAAATGGAAGATTCGAAGAATCATAGAAACGTAACGACACTAATTACCTTCCGAAACATTTCTCTGCTTTTCGACTAAAAGCAAGCCGAAGAATTCGAAAACCGATCGTAGCGTAATTCTCCCCGACGCTAATTACTCCCCGAAACAATTTTTCCCCGAGAATAACTTTCTCCGACTCTCTTTCATCAAAAGTAGCGTACTCGAAG